GCAATTCTCCTGCCTCAGCCTCCTGAGTAGCTGGGATTACAGGCACATGCCACCATGCCCAGCTGAATTTTTGTATTTTTAGTAGAGATGGGGTTTCACCATGTTGACCAGGATGGTCTCGATCTCTTGACCTCGTGATCCACCCGCCTCGGCCTCCCAAAGTGCTGGGATTACAGGCGTGAGCCACCGCGCCCGGCCTTGAATGTTATAAAGATATAATGATGAACAAGGTAAAGGAAGGCTAGATATCTGTTAGGTAAAGTCAAGCCTGGTTGGTTAACCTACCCTGGAGTTGGTAAAATATATTGGGGTCAGCCAGGAGGGAGGTCCCCCGTGTCATGCCATGGGACATTGTGCTTGGTTCTGACCTTGTCATTTTTTAAATTGTGGGAAAAACCCATAGAATAAAATTTGCCATCTTTTCCATTACTAAGTGTACAGTTAAGTAGTGTTGAGTATATTCACACTGTTGTAAACCAAACCCCCAATTGGCAAACATTCACCTTGCAAATCAGAAGCTCTCTACCTATTAAACAACTTCCTCTTTTCCCTCTTTCCAGCTCCTGGTAACAACCATTCTACTTTCTACTTCTGAGAATTTGACTACTATAGATATATAAGTGAAATCATACAGTTTGTTTTTTTGAGGCTGGCTTATTTCACCTAGCATAATGTCCGCAAGTTTCATCCATGTTGTAGTATGCATCAGAATTTCCTTCTTTTTAATGGCTGATATTTCATTGTATGGATAGACCACATTTTGTTGATCCATTCATTTATCAATGGGCACTCGGATTGCTTCTAACTCTTGGCTATTGTGAATAATGCTGCTATGAACATGGGTGTGCAAATTTCTCTTAAGACTCTGCTTTCAATTATTTTGAGTATATATCCAGAAATGGGATGGCTAGACCATATGGTTCTATTTTTTTTTCTTTGTTTTGAGATGGGGTCTCACTTTGTTGCCCAGGCTAGATTGCAATGGCACCATCATGGCTCACTGCAACCTTGTCCTCCTGGGCTCAGTTGATTCTTCCACCTCAGCCTGTAGCTGGGACTACAGACATGCACCACCATGCTCAGCCAATTTTCATAATTTTTTGTAGAGATGAGGTCTTGCTATGTGCCCAGACTGGTCTTGAAATCCTGGGCTCAAGTAATCCTCTTACCTTGGGCTCCCAAAGTGCTGGAATTACAGGTGTGAGCCACCGTGCCTATTTTTGATTTTGTTCTATTTTTGATTTTGTAAGGAACCTCATACTGTTTTCCATAGTGGCTGCACCGTGTTACAATCTCATTAACAGAACACAAATCTTCCAATTTCTCTGCAGCCTTGCAAACACTTGTTATTTTCTGTTTTTTGTTTGTTTGTTTGTTTGTTTGTTTGTTTTTTAAATAGTAGCTATCCTAGGTTGGGCATAGTGGCTCAGGCCTGTTAATCCCAGCACATTGGGAAGCCAAGGTGGATAAATCATGAGGTCAAGAGATCAAGACCATCCTGGCCAACATGGTGAAACCCCATCTCTACTAAAAATACAAAAATTAGCTGGGTGTGGTGGCTCGTGCCTGTAGTCCCAGCTACTTGGAGGCTAAGGCAGGAGAATTGCTTGAACCCAGGAAGCAGAGGTTACAGTGAGCTGATGATCAGGCCACTGGACTGCAGCCTGGGCGACAGAGAGAGACTCCATCTCAAAATAAATAAATAAATAAATAAATAAATAGCAGCTATCCTAATGGGTATGAGGTGAAATTTCACTTTTATGTCTCATCATTTTAATCAATAATTTGGAAGAAGACACAGACGGGATCTATCAAATCTGCAGATTGAGCCAGAATGATAGGGTCTAGGCTAAAAAAATGCTTCAGTTGGCTGCAAAGATAAGCTGACATCTGCATATAAGGAAGAGAGGTAGAGGGTCAGCCGTTCACAGATGAAGCTGCACCTGAGCAGCTCCCAAGCCTGGCATCACGGTCACCAAGGGAGCTTAACAAACTAGAGAGAAGATAGATTTTTCAGACCTACCTCAGACCCACGGAAGCAGCATTTCACAGAGTGCCCCACCCTACCAGGTGTTTCAGTTAGGTGTGGGAATCGGAAGTGTTTCTCCAAGTGTGATCCCAGCACCAGCAGCAACGTCACCTGAGAACTTGTTAGAGATGCAGATCTTCAGGCCCCACCCCAGATGTGGTGAATCAGAAACTCTGGAGGGGAGCCTGGCACCCTGTGTTTCAACAAACCCTCCACGTGCTTCTGATGTTTGGGAACCATTGCTGTAGAAAAGTACTCAACCCCATTTCAACACAGAGCACCCATAATCTGATGGATGCAAATCCTTTTACAACAGCAATAAAATCCATTAAATTCAAGGGTAGGAATTCAACTTGGGACAAGAGAGAATCAAAGAAAATTAGAAAGACTTAAAGGGAGAAATAAAGGAAGGAATAAATAAACGAGGAGCTAGATTATGCTCCTTGTGGAAAAGGCCCATGCACAGACTTAGTTAGGTACCAGCAATGTTCTCCTTTTGTAGAAATAAGTGAAGAAAAATACCAACTTAAAAAAAAATGTATTAGGATCAGACCCATGCTACCAAATTTTAAAACAAAGTGGCAATTCTCCAAATTATACAGAATTGAATTTAAAACAGAAAAATTCATCAGTGGGCAAGACTAGGCATTTCAGAAGTAAATTTAAGCCATTTTAAGAGCTTAATCTGTGAAAAGCCAGTAAGAGAAGGAATCACTATTTAATTTGGTTATTTGAACCATTTAATTTAATTTTTATTTAAATATGGAACACAGCACAGCTTGGTGGCTCATGCCTATAAACATAGTACTTTAGGAGGCCAAGGCAGGAAGACCACTTGAGCCCAGGAGTTCAAGACCAACCTGGACAATATAGGGAGACGCTGTTTCTAAAAAAAATAAAGTAGCTGACCATGGTGGTGCATACCTGTGGGTCCAGCTACTCAGGAGCCTGAGGTGGGAGGATGGTTTGAACCCAGAAAGTTGAGGTTGCAGTGAACTGTGACCACATCATTGCACCCCATCCTGGGTGACAGAGCAAGACTCCATCTGAAAAAAAAAAAAAAAAAAAAAAAAAAAAGAGATGATGGATAAATGGATAGGATGCATGGATGAATGGAGGAGGGAAGCCCAGGGAAAGCCTTCAGCAAGGCCATCTCATCTCTCTTGGTTGGGGTAGGTAGGAGATGAAGACCTTCCTGAAGGACAGCCTATCACAAAGGATTGCAGAGATTCTCTGAGGTACAGAAAGTGGGGATGGTTTTCCAAGCCCAGGGCCTGGTTTACACAGAAGCATGGAGGTGTAAGAGAAAGTCTAGGGCACCATGAGACCACCTGGGAGTGATGAGAAAGAAGTCGGAAGAGGGGTGCAGGGCTTGTCCTTAGGTGGAGAAGGGTCAACCCATACCACATGGAAGTAAGTTCTGCAGAGCACCAAGTGAACCACAACCTGTGCCGTGACTTTCTAAAGGAAGCAGAACGATGTTTTCTTAGCTCTGGCAAGGCAATGCATTTCTGCTTACTAAAGAAACTAGGCAGTCCCTCAGAGAAGACTGATGGACTGGGATACATACGAACATTTGCATGACAAGCTACAATTAAGCACAAAAGGGGAAGCTATATATTGGAAAACATATGCAACAGATAAGTGTAACTGATCAAAGCTCAACGGCAGGTGGATAAGGAGCTGGAGACAGCGCAAAGCCATGGAAGGAGGATGAACTTTGGAGTCCCATCAGGACTGTGGCCCCTGCTTTAGACTTGTGTGATGGAACCTATCCAGTCAGTTTCCTCCCATTTAAAATGATAACACTAGGCCGGTGCGTGGCTCACACCTGTAATCCCAGCACTTTGGGAGGCCAAGGTGGATGGATCACTTGAGGTCAGGAGTTCAAGACCAGCCTGGCCAACATGGTGAAACCCTATCTCTACCGAAAATACAAAAATTAGCCAGGCATGGTGGCGCATGCCTGTAATCCCAGCTACTCAGGAGGCTGAGGTGGAAGAATTACTTGAACCCAGCTGGTGGTGAGGGGGCAGAGGTTGCAGTGAGCAGAGATCGTGCCACTGCCCTCCAGCCTGGGTGAGAGAGTCTGCCTCAAAAAAAATAAATAAATAAATATAAATAAATAAATGGGAATGTCATCTCTTCACAGAGATACCATGAGGATTAAACAAGAAACACAATGGCACTCAAATCATGGTTCCTTTCCCTCCCTCCTTGTGTCAGTTATGAAGACTTTCTTTTCTTTTTACGACAGAGTCTTGCCTCGCTCTGTTGCCCAGGCTGGAGTGTAATGGCACAATCTTGGCTCACTGCAACCTCTGCCTCCTGGGTTCAAGAGATTCTTCCTGCCTTAGCCTCCTGAGTAGCTGGGATTACAGGCACTCACCACCATGCCCAGCTAATTTTTGTATTTTTAGCAGAGATGGGGTTTTACCATGTTGGCCAGGCCAGTCTCCAACTCCTGACCTCAAGTGATCCACTGGCCTTGGCCTCACAAAGTGCTGGGATTACAGGCGTGAGCCACCATGTCCAGCCAAGACTTTCAAAATAAGAGCCAACATTTTTTAGTGTTTGTGTCAAATACTTCATTTATGTTATCTTATTTAATCCTCTCAAAACCCCATGAGTTCAGTACAATAATTATTCCCATTGTATAGATGAGAAAGTTGAGGCCTTGAGAAGTTAGGCAACTTGCCCCAGGTTTGAACGTTCCTTAATAGAGTTGGGATTCAAACCCAGCTCTTCCTTTTTTCAGAGTCCAAGTTTGTAACTCCCATGGCACATTGGCACTCAGTATGTGGTCTAAGACAATGAATGGACATACTGTCCACAAGAAGACAGTAAATCGCCTAAGAAAAAGTCAACTGTGGAAGAGTTTGGAGGGATGTGTACACTTCTCAGGAGGGACGAGGCTTTGTAAATGGGATGGAGCTTTTCTAGAATAATCTAGAGATGTTCCAAAGCCAGTGTGGTAGAACTGTAGCCCCTTTGGGCCAGAGAGGACAGCTGCCCAGGTGAAGGAGCAAAGAACCTGACCCACTGTGCCTCAGCTGTGGGACCCTGGCTGGACCCTTCACCAATTTTAGTCTCAGTTTTCTCATCCACAAAACAAAACAAAAAGATAATCATAGTTCAATCTCTGAGGGATTTTGTGATGATCAGGTTTATTCATTGATTAACTGATTGACTGGTTAATGCGTTCATTCCCTGTATATATTGTGGATATTGACTGTGTGTCAGGTATTGTGCTGGGTGTACAAAGAAAGCTAAGAAGTAGTCCCTAACATTGAGATACTTGTAAATAACACCATCCATGTGAAAATGCTTGGAAAATTGCAAAGCATCATATAAATAGTATTTAATGGCATTATATCCTTGGTTGGGGGTAGGGATGGAGGAGGAGAAGGACATGCCCCAATAAAGTAGTTCAAATACTATTTATAGTAGTAAAAACTTGTTGTCAACACAAATGCCCCATGACAGAAGAATGGGCAAGCAAAGAACATTCTATAACTCTTAAATATGCTGAGCCCTCATTCTTCCAAAGTAAGCATAGCTGTTTGGAAACGTGAATTTTTTTCTCTTTGGGGCTTGATCTATTTGGTCTATCAGAGGGGGCCGAAGCAGAGGAGACAATTTCCCTGCAGAAGATTGATGACAATTCCAGAAAGGGTTTGCAAATCACACCAGCATAAGGTGGTGTCAAAGCCTGAGTCTGAACAACATCAGCGCAATGATGGGAAAATGGAAAACTAGCATTTTCCAAACTATTTTGTCTGTGAAATGACAACCAATTAGATTTCACCTCCTGATCCTGCCCACTGATTTGGGGGTTGTCTTGGCTTTGGGTCCCCACTGCCCTCCTAGGTGCATGGTCTTCATTCTGCTTTTCATTTCAGACTACATCAATCTGTTCAGCACCAAGTGTCATGGCTGCGATTTCCCCGTGGAGGCTGGCGACAAGTTTATTGAAGCCCTGGGGCACACCTGGCACGACACCTGCTTCATTTGCGCGGTATGTCTCTAGCTTGGGGCTCTGGCTTTCTGGAAAGAGGCAGGAGGGAGGAAGTGGGAGCCAGGTGAGCAGCCCTCTAAATCCCTTGCCACACTAGCATTCTGACATCCTGATCATTTTTAAAAGCTGAAAAACACCATGATGCCTCGATACATCACAGTGGAACAAAGTTTCATTCCTAGTAATTATTTATAAATCAATGTGGCTTTGTTACTTTCCATTTCATTAAGGACAACAGAGAGTCCCAGGATTTCGCAAACCAGTGGCTTGTCTCACCAGCAGTGTTGTCAGTGGGCAAGAGCAGCCGATGCTTGGCTTTGAGAGGAGCAGTTGGCTTCCCATGGTTATATGCTGCTTCAGATATGATGGAGTGACTTGAGGGTTTTCCCCTCCAAATTGTTACCTTGAACACTAGATTGGCGCTTACTTACTAATCCTGTGAAAAGCTGAGATAGGGTTTCCCTTAGTAGAACCTTTGGAAAGCAAGACTGAGTATCATTTTATTTTCCCAAGTGGTCCTTTCTTGATATATAGCTGCCAGGAGATAAGCCCTGGATTAACTATTAACTATGTGCTGCTTATTTCTGCTGAATAGCTGGGTCACTTTTAATATGAGACTGGCATTTTCCTTCTCAGTGTTTTGGATTTGGGTGGGCACATCATGGTGAGCCTACAGACATTTAGACTCTGAGGAAGAGGTAGGAAACAGTCATCCCTGAGAAAGCTCCATAATGTCAATCTGTCATTGACTAAACTTGATTTGGGAACTTTTTTTTTTTTTTTTTTTTTTTTTTTTGAGACGGAGTTTCTGCTCATTGCCCAGGCTGGATTACAGTGGCATGATCTCAGTTCACTGCAACCTCCACCTCCTGGGTTCAAGCAATTCTCCTGCCTCAGCCTCTTGAGTAGCTGGAACTACAGGAACATACCACCACACCTGGCTAATTTTGTGTATTTTTAGTAGAGATGGGTTTTCGCCATGTTGGCCAGACTGGTCTCAAACTCCTAACCTCAGGTAATCCAACTGCCTCGGCCTCCCAAAGTTCTGGGATTACAGGCATGAGCCACTACACCCCTCTGAATGGGAAAATTAAGGCACCCCTACTATTTTTTTAAAATTAGTTTCTAAGGTAAATTTTGGAAATATATGAAATATCTGTACTGTTGGCCGGGCACGGTGGCTCAAACCTGTAATCCCAGCACTTTGGGAGGCCGAGGCGGGTGGATCATGAGGTCAAGAGATCGAGACCATCCTGGTCAACATGGTGAAACCCCGTCTCTACTAAAAATACAAAACATTAGCTGGGCATGGTGGCGCGTGCCTGTAATCTCAGCTACTCAGGAGGTTGAGGCAGGAGAATTGCCTGAACCCAGGAGGCGGAGGTTGCGGTGAGCCAAGATTGTGCCATTGCACTCCAGCCTGGGTAACAAGAGTGAAACTCCGTCTCAAAAAAAAAAAAAAAAAAATCTGTACTGTTTCTACTTGAATAATTTTTATAGACTGATGACATAGGATGACCCTAGTCATAAAGTTTGCTGTCATATCCTTTTGGTTCTACACTTCACTTCCATACCCCGCCATCTGTGGGACACACTGTATTCACTCTGTGTGTTGGTTTGCTAGGGCTGCCTTGACAAATTACTGCAAACTGATAGCTCAAACAACAGAAATGTATGCTTTCACAGTTCAGGAGGCCAGAAGTCCCAAATCAAGGTGCTGACAGGAGGCCATACTCTTTCTCCGAGCTTCTAGGGGTTGCCAGCAATCCTTGTCATTCCTTGGCTTGCAGCTATGTAACTTCAGTCCCTGCCTCCATTGTCACAAGGCTGTCTCTCTTCTTTGTGTATGTCTTTACATGACATTCCACTCTGAGTGTGTCTATCCCTGTGTGCTTCTTCTCTCTTTTTTTTTTTTTTT